TAAACCATTTGATATGCATTTAATTGGAGCTTACAACTGGCAAATCGATGCGCATTGTTCGGGCCACCTCCTACGCTTCTACGCGGAAGCAGATGAACCAGGTAAAGCGAACGTAATGGACTTCAATATGGAGCTCCAGTTGTTTCTCTAAGAAAAACAACAAAGGAAATCGCCAACTTGCATTTATCGCCACATATCAGCGGGAGGGGGCGTGCTAAAAGAGGGAGGGGAAAGGGGATTTGAAGAAACAACAGTCGTAGCGACAGGGCTGGGTGGAGGGTCATGCTTCTGACATGGCCAGACTTTGCTGCCAAGCGCTTGTCTCTGGGCTCAGCTTGACGCTGGCCGCAGTCCGGATGGGACTTGGACTGGGACGGGGGCTGAGGCTGGGGCTGGGGCTGGGAGACGGCGACGCTGGCTGGGGTCTGTAGACAAGGCACAAAACAATATACGATGATATGATGCGTGTGCCATGCGCGCACTCCATGTGCGTGTGTGTGTGTTTCAGGTTGTTTTTGGAGCGCGACCGACGCGTTGTTGTTTTGACAACATGCGGCCAGGAGGGCCCCTCGAAGCGCCAACTCCTGGCCTGCTCCCCTCCCTCTGTCCGCTTACCCACTGCACACACAAAAGAAAACACAAGCGTCGCATATGTGTGAAAGACGAGCTGTGGGGCTGTGGAGTTGTGGGGCCTGTGTTGGGTGGGCAAGAATATTTAACAGGAAGAAACCAATAAAACCTAATGATATGAAAAAATGCAATTTTCTGAAACTCAACCAACACACGCATAGGGACACTCACACACACGCACAAAAGACACAACAAATACAATGATACGAAGCACTGGGGAAAAGGTTTACACGTTCGCAAGAATCGTGGCAACAGCAAAAGGCAAACACCGCTGACGAAAACAAGTGAAATGGCAGCAACATCAAGGCAGCTGCAACAGCAGCAAGAGCAGCAACAGTAGCAGGACCAGCAACAGTAGCAGCAGCAACAGAAACAGGTGCAGTAGCTGCAGAGAAATAAGTAACTTAACTTGCAATATTAGTGAGATCAATAATAGCAGCAGCAGCAACAGTAAGACATGAGCAAGTCACAGCAACAGCAGAAGGCAGAGCAGCAGCAGGAAGTGCCACAAGAGCAACATCATCAGCTGCATAGTCGCAGTAGCAACGGTAACATGCAAAGCAGCATAAGCAATGGCAACGACAAAAGCAGCAGCATAAGAAGTAGAAAAAACATCAAGCAAAAATCAGATGCTAGCTGTTGCTTTTGGCCCATCAGCAACATCTCTAGTAAATGCACGAACAGTAACAGCTTTAGTCTTAGTAGCAACAGCAACAGCAGCAACGTAAAGTCAAGCAACAGCAATAGCCGAAAATCAAATACCAGCAGTAAAATCTGTAACAGCAACATCTCCACAGGTGCTGTTGCTAACAGCCGTAGTCACAGTAGCAACATCAATAGCCAAAAATCAAATACCAGCAGCAATATCTCCAACAGCAACAGCCCCAACGAACTATAGCTACAGCCGTAGTCACAGTAGCAACAGCAGCCAGACAAGAGCAAGCAACAGCAAAACCCCGAAAGCAACGTTAACAGTAGCAGCAACAGTTGCAACAGGAGGTCAAGCAACAGCGAGAGCCGAAAATGAAATGGTAACAGCAAGCAATGGTCATATATGTAAGTAATATCAACAACAGCAGCAGTAGAAGCACTAGTGACATCAACAAAACAAAACTGATTCAACAGGAGCAGCAGCGGAAACAACAATAGCGACTGACCAATATGTGAGCAATATGTGAACAACCATGCTAATAACAGCGACAGCATCAGCAGAAACTTATCAACTTCATGAGCAGTACTTTCATATAGTAACAGCAGCAACAGCAACATTGTTGTATGGAGGCGCAACAGCGCCAGCAACAGAAATAACTTCTTATTGCACATTGCAAGGACCTGCAACTCTTTAGTTCAATTGCTGTTAATATTGTTGATAATGCTGCTGTTAGTTTGTATGACAATGTTGCTGTTAATGTTGCTGATATTTCGGCTGTTAAGCCATAAATTATCCCTATGTTGCTGTTATTCTATATGTAATTAATAATGCTGCTGCTGGCAATATCTATGCTAATGTTGATGTAACCGTATTGCTGCTGCTGTTGCTGCTGTTGATATCGCTGTTGCTAATAAAATATATGCTAATGTGGATGTTGCTGTTAATTCTGCTGCTCCTATTAATACGGCTACTGTTAATATTGCTTCTGCGTTAGTATTGCTGTTAATATTGCTGTTGCTGTTGCGGTTGCTTCATCGTATAAACATTTCGTTGCGTTTGATTTTCCGCTTCAAAAAATCAGAAATATCAGAGCCGTCTTGGCCAAACATGATTATGATGATACATATGATGAAGATGATGATGATGATGACGATGATGACGATGATGATGATGATGACGATGATGATGGCCATGTCTTTGGCGCTTCTTGTGTTTTGCCTCAGTGACATGTTGTCCTCTGTTGTCGCTGCTGCTTCTACTTAGAATTGTTGTTGTTGTCCGCGCAAGTTGTCATATGTGAAGCTTTGCGCGTTGCTGAATTTTTATATTACGTGCACAACAACAACAACAACAACAACAACAATGAATATGGAAAGACATACACGAGCCTGGCTTCAAAAAGAAAGGACAAGGATGGCAACAACAGCTGCTGTGAGCGAGCAGGAGATAGAAGAGAACGTGGGAAACGTAACGAAATGAAATGAAAGACAACAACAAGAACAACAACAACAACAACAACAATATAAACATGGCACCCAACACTTGTTTCATGTCCTTCCTTAGACGTTTCTCGTTTATACAGCGCCTGGCAACGTCCACTGTACGTCCTTTGGCCAGGCCGCTGCCTGGCTGGCTGTGGGGAGAGGCTGGGCCATCGGTTATGAGTTGGAGGATGAAACGCCAGCCAGCCAGCCAGCCAGCCAGCCAGCCAGCCAGCCAGCCAGCCAGCCAGCCAGACAGACGCTGCATATGAAAATGTATTACCGTTAAACGGAGGGCGGATCATACCCAAAACCCGAACCCTGCTGCCAACTGCTTTGCCCCCTTCCTGACCGCTCACAGGACACAGGCGCAACGCATGTAAGCAATTTTCAAAAGTACTTAGTCAGCATCTTTTTAACCCTTACCCCATGGCCCGGGCCCTCCCGCCCGTCCTTTGAAGGTGGCCGCGGGGTGACCGTTCGTCAGCAGCGCCCACGCATGGCGCTTCGTAGATACCGAAGGGTAATGTTATGTCCTGTCACTGGCTACAGCCAAACGATAAGCCAGGCGACAGGCCCCTGCTACCTCTACTCCCCTCGCCAAATGCCCAATGAACGTTCCGGCTCTAGCTGACGCCCTCGCTTAGCGAATGATTCTAGGGCAAGTCGCAGGCCGAGCATTTTTTTTAAGAATTGCGTTTCCTTTGACTTTGGCAAAGGTTTTTCTTTTATTTTTTCTCCATTTTTCCCTCGCCCTCTCTCTATCTCTCTTAACACATATTAAGCCGCAAAAATATTGCCGACTATTTCGCAGCTAGGACGAAAAAATGTTGCATATAGAAACAAAGCAGGTTAGCGCATTTCGGTGAGTAGGACTCGACTGGCAGATACCCTAGCTGTACGGCTTTAGGTCTCTAAGGAGGGAAGCATTCAAGCTTACAAACCTCTGTGAAAACTAAATAGATTTTCATCTCAACTACGATTTTCCCTAAAGGATTTTCCTATGCGATTCCCCGTTGTATTCAGATTTGACTTTGAACTATTTAAGCCTTGAATAAATTGAGCGGATTTATGATGGACAAAACTATGTGTACTAGAAGTCTATGTATACTAGCCAAGTATGCATTTCTTTTTCTATGGCTTTACCAAACTAAGGGTAATAAAAGAATTGATAATAATTTTCTAATTAACAAAAATTGTATATGGTTTGATATATGTATAAACATGAATAAAATACCCTTTTGAATCAATTTTGAGGGGTATCACAGAAAAATGTATATACATATATGTCATACTAACAATTGAATACGCAAAACATGCTCGGCAGTGGGCAAGGGGATTGGGGACTGACTCGGCCGAAGGGTGAGCAGAGTTGTGGTACGCAAAAAAATAAAAAAAATGGCACTGGCCTTCTAATTCACTCGATAGCCATTCATTGGAAATTCTTGATTGATGCTCTGCCCTCGTCTGCAACGCGTTGATAAGCTGGAAAGCACTGTGTGTGTGTGTGTGTGTATGTCTGAGTGGGGGTACCACTCGACCTCCCCAATCCCCAAACGTTGCTACCCAACCACTCAGGCAGCCCGAAGCCCTTTCTTCAGCACATTTTTACAACTGCTGCGTTGTCAGTTAGTTTTTCAATTTTTCATTTTACATATTTCAGGGATTAGAGGACGACAACAACAACTCTCAGCTACTAGTTGCTGGTTAAGGGCAAGGGGGGAGCAGCCCTGAAATGTGGTTATCGGAACTGCAATAAATATATTCATATTCATGTGACCCCCGACGTTCAAGCACATCCACACACACGAGTATTTTTTTGCCCAACTCCATGTTTGAGATAGATATATACGAATATATTTATAATACCTTTCATGTGGAGTCGAAGCTTGTCCAAGCTAATCAGGAAGAGAAGTGTTTCTATAGTCCTTGAAAAGAAAAAAGGATGGTTTGATTCATTATAAACATAAATTTTTAATCCAAGTCCAAATACTTGGCAGCATAGGAAAATTACAATTTAGTTCAGCGAAAAGATTTATGATTCCTGGAATTTGTAGGACAGTTATGTCACCTGGATGAGATCTTTCAAAATTCTGCAGCGTAGTTGAAGTTTGCAGCTGTCCAGCTTGTTTAAGATCGTTCGTATGATCTTTGGTATAATTTTCTGGGATAATGAAACAGGGTCATGACTATAACATAAGTGAGTCGAGTATAGTCCCCCTTGTTGCTATCATTTCTCATTGCTTGCGCTTGTTTCGGTGATGCAAGTCCTTAAAATGTTTTAATTGGATGTCGCGAATCGAGTCCTGTTTCTTCATTTCGACGACCGAAATACGTCGAGGTCCACTCCCACTCTTATTGTTGGGTATTGTCGGCTTGCAATCGGAGGTCTTGAGCTTAAAAGGAAAATCGTTGGTGTACGGTTCTTTCTTGCTGGTCTTTCTGGCTCGCACTTCTTTCGGTGCCGGAGAAGCTAATCTAGTAGTACGAAGCTTGGGTGGTTTGCATGTGTAGTCGGGGACCGTGTATATAGACTCCTCGGTTCCACATGATTTGGGCGACTCATCGCAACGCAGTGATTTTCGCCGACGATCGTGAAATTGGGATACCTTTTCCTCAATCATCTGATCTAGTTTGTCCAGCCTGAGATTTTTTAGCTTTTGATCTAGTACCAGATTCACCGTATTACTAATCGTCTCGTACATATCCTTGACCTCCATTTGGTGCGGTTCGGTCTTCTTCGTCTTCGTCTCGGGGCGTAACTTCTCTAGGGCATCCTCTGGGATCAGAGCAAAGCGCAGCTTTGGATATCGTTTCGCGCTGCCGGCCATTGCTGTAAGAATATGCCAATGTGAATGAGGCGCAAGCGTTGAATGAATTAAAGATTTGCAATTTTGGATAAGTTAAAAGTGAATTTAAAATCTAAAATTTTTTTCAATTTTTTCAGCCCTACAAATTTGGGTCTTGCTCGATAAATGATTAGTAATGTTATGAGAGAAAAGATTTTGTTCAGGTTACTCGACGACTGACCAAGTCGAATTATTTCTCATGGCTTACTTCACTTCAATTTTTGTATATCTAGTTGTCCCTCTCTCCCTCACTCTCTCTCGTTGTGTCCCTCTTCGTCACTGATTGCCTTTGATTCGAGCACTTCCTTTGCGTCCATTGTTTTGGTGACATGTGACAGGCCGTACTTCCCAATATTGGCACGCAGCGCATTGTCCTCAGCCTTTTGAGTCGGGCTGGGCAAAAACAATGCTCGAAGCGTGGGGTGAGACCAGCCGCTGAGACTGCACTGACTGGAGAACAAGCGGTGCAGAGGTTTCCTTCCAAATCATGTCCGATGACATTTAACAAAAGCTCGCTGGAACAAGTCACGTTCTTGGCTCTCAATTAATAAAAATAAGCAGCTTTACCGAAACCCCTAAACACCAACTATTGTATACACTTTACAGATATTCCCATAAATTTCTGGAAAATTGATATTTGTTTAAATACCATTATATATGAGTAATACAATTTTTATTTTACATAAAATTTCTTTTTATGATAATATCTTTAGCAATTAAACGTCTTAAGGCAAGAAGACAAATCCAATTAATATGCTAAGTGCTTAGCTTGGTGACCAGGCAAAGTTCCTGACATAGTTGTCACGTTCTTAGGCCGGCTTTAATGAATACATCGGTCGCTTCTTGGGCTGACATGCTCACCTTGTTGCTGGCCTCTAGTTTTATGGACTTGCGTTTGAGAGTCGACTCGCTTCCTTCGCTGATTCCGCATCTGGTTACCCTTCGAGTGGAACTTGCATTTTCATTTCCATTTACCATCTATGAGCGGTGACATTTCGGGGTTATTGTTTGCGATCTTCGGGTCCTGGGTCTCGGTCCCGGTGCCGGTCCCGTCTTTTGACGACGTGTCACAGGCACTTCAGGAAGCCGGCAGCCGATCTGAATGGAAGACGCGGCCGCAAGACCTTCCAAAGCGAAGCATCAGCGAGCCAGGCGCAACCCCAATAACCGAGCCAACCAAAAACTCAAATGCAAAAAAAAAGCCGAAAACAGAAAATGAAAAATGATAATTTCCATTGACGCAATTTTTAACATTGCCCTCGTATGTGTGTGTGTGTGTGTGCGTGTATGCGTGTGCCGTTACCTGGTAGGGGATTCGTGTTTGGTTTTTAGGATCGGCATATGCATTGCGTTTACGGGATTAACTCGATTTACGAAAGGGTTACGCATGCAACGCGAACGTCCCAATAACAAAATATGCCAAAGTGTTTAATGTGCATTACCCGTTCCCATTTCCATGCCAGTTCGCATTCCGGATACACAGGGACTGCCAGGTAGTCGTTCTGTTTCTGCCGCTCAGTCGCTCTCTGTCTCGCTGGTTGGCAATGAGTGCGCACAAAAGGCGAGCTCCTTTGCCTGCCTAATTCGCGACGTCGAGAGGTCCCGAGGGGGTAGCACGAAGTGCTTACAAATTACGTTAAAAGTGAATTAACCCTGGCGCACAGCCACATCCCGATCGTAGGCAAATGTGTGGCGTCACGATCGCGCATTACCAAAGTTCTCGAGCACATATGCCGCAGAGATCGAACGTCTGTCGACCTAACGGGTTGTGTGTGTGATAACTTGCTCTCTCTCTCTTTCTGATCGGCACTACTCAATTATCAGTCGCCATCGGTGCCTTATCGATTGGACCCATCAGCTCTGCGCATTTCACAGCTGATACTCGAGCGCGTTTTACGGGCGAACAGCTTCGACAATCCGATCGGACCACCCGATCAAGTCAAGTGGCCGCCGCAAAGTGTCATCAATTAGCCAATTTCCATTGTTGGCTTCAATGTTAGACTGTGCTTTTTCACGTTTTACTCCAGATGAATTCGAGAGATATTTCCGTGAGCAAAGGTTTCGTTGACAATGAGGGTCGCACTCGAAAAGTGTTTGATTGGAAACTTTTGAAAGTATTATATAATTTCAGTACTATGTGGTGATCTAGTTACATTTGATACCAATGCCATAATTATGAATTCTCTGAAACTTCTCAAACCTATTTTAACGTTTTTTTTGAAACTATTTAAAGCAAAATTAATTTAATTTTGGTCTTGGGTTTTAGTAATATACTGACCGTGAGAGAAGGGTTTGATGAGAGATTGAGCGCGTAAGTTGTGTACTTTTAGTGAACCAGTTTTAATTGATCTAACCGATTTGGAATTGAAATAGCCCAACAGTTTTAGCAGTATAACAGTAAGAAGGTGAGACAGTATAATAGTATAAAAGTATAACAGTATAGCAGGATAGCAGTAAAGAATTGCCACTGTATATCAGTAATGGACCATAGAAGTATAGCAGCATAGCAGCAAGACAGTATAACAGTCAGAAGGTAAAACAGTTCAATAGTAGAGCAGTATGAAAGTATAACAGTATAGCAGTAAGACAGTATTACAGTAAGAAGGTAAGACAGTATAATAGTATAACAGTATAGCAGCATAGCAGTAAAGAAGTGCCGCTGTATATCAGTATGTCCGTATTGCAGCATAAAAGTACAACAGTATATCAGTAAGAAGGTAAGACAGTATAATAGTATAACATTGTAGCAGTATGGCATTATAGCAGTAACTAAGTGCGGCAGTATATTAGTATTGCAGCATAGAAGTATAGCAGCATAGCAGCAAGACAGTATAACAGTAAGAAGGTAAAACAGTACAATAGCAGAGCAGTATAGGAGTATAGAAGTAACAGTATAGCAGTAAGACAGTGTAATAGTAAGAAGATAAGCCAGTATATTGGTATAACAGTATAACAGTGTAGCAATATAACAGGATAGCAGTAAAGAAGTGTCGCAGTATATCAGTATCGCAGCATAGAAGTATTGCAGCATAGCAGTTACGACAGTGTAACAGTAAGATAGTACGACAGTAAGACAGTATAATATCATAGTATTAATATGACAAAATATCATATTATTATTATGACAGTAAGATAGTATAAAAATATGACAGTAAGATAGTAAAACAGTATATCAGTATATTAGTATAACAGTACAACAGTATATTAGTATCTTCAATTGAAGAACTGCTTATTTTCCAGCTTTATTGAGGTGTATCAAAAGCTAAAGACCTTTTTACATAGAAAAGCAGCGTTTGGGGCACATACATGCTTATTATGGGCAATTTGTACAGTATCAAATTGTCAGAGTAAAAGGAAGTGTTCCAAGGTGGGGGGATGGGTTTGCACACACACACACACGCACACACACAAATCTTCGATGCGAAGGCGGAAAACTCTCTGTCAAAGGCCATTCGAGAAATTCAATTGTATTGCTTTTGGTTAGGGTATTTGTTTAATAATACGGCGAGTGTGTGTTTGTGTCTGGGTCTATCTGTTTGTCTGTTTGATATCAGAGCGTAACATTTATAAATGTAATTGTATAAATGGGCTGCTTATGCCCACGGTCGAGCCCCCGCTGAATATGGAACTGTAAAGTGTACTTCTGCTTGTGCCCATAGGGTTGAAGTAATGGCCGGTTTGCGCTGTCCGCTAGCCATTAGGGGTGGACCATGGGCTCGGATTCGGAGTCGGAAACGGATTCGAATTCGGATTCAATTCGAATCGCAATAAAAATATGGCCACAGACAGAAGGAGAGAGAGACAGAGAGAGAGAGAGAGAGAGCGAGCAAGACTACTGCGACAACAAACAAACAATAAATGTGTACGATTTCAAAGCACTTCAAACGTTCGGCCCATTCGACTCCCACCACCACTACCCCCATCACCAGCACCACCAATACCACCACCACCACTACCAAGTCCAGCAGCCACTTCAGGACTTTTACCTCGGTGCCGTCCATCAACAACACTAACGAGCTGGCAGCTTAGACTCAATGGCACAATCGAGTCGAGTTGAGTCGCGTCGAGGAGAGGAGAGGAGAGAAGACTGACAGGGTGTGAGGGTGGGTTGCTTGGCCAGTGCCACTGCCTTAGCCATCGTTGCTCTGGCCGTTGTCCGTTTCAAGCAAAGGGGTCAATGCGTACTGCGGAGCTTTGGTCTTGGTCTGATCTGGGCTGTTCTGGCTGTACACGTTCAACCCCTCGGACAGATTGACTTTTATGTTGATAGCATTCTCCTGCTCTTCCGCTCTACCTCTCTCTCCCTCGCTCTCTCTTTCTCGTTATTTCTCTTTGTCCGCGTTGGTTTGTGTATGTCCACTACGCAATTCGCTGGCATACCCACCCCTCAGGTGGCCATTTTGAATATTGGCAGTGGCCAAATAACACCTTCCGTGGCACAACAATTGATTTTAATAACTGCGACGAGCCATTTGACCAGGTTCAGCTGTCGTTTGTTGAAAATTTCATCAACTTGGCGAAGTTTTCCGTTCACTTGCCAAGGTATTTTCATTTCCAACCTAACTTTAGTTCGCAGCTTTACGTAGGTGCTTTCGATGTAAATGGAAAAATAATATTCAAAGGACTTTCCACATAAGCTCATGTATGTCACCATCACTTCAAAGCTAACGTTATTTCTTTACTATTGACATGTCATAACTATCTGAGGTATTGTGTATAAAAGGAAATCTTTTAGAAATCTAACAAAGGAGTTGAGGTGAAGACTTCAACTTCTAAGTTGAAATTCCTTTGGCACGAGTATACTAATCCGATTGCTTTAGTGAGTTATTGTCCGTATGAGTGTAATACATCATTATACCAAACTTCTTATATCTATATGTTGCATATGCATGTTTATATTTTGACTGATTAGTTTCTAGTACTGAGCTATTTAGTTAAAGGATTTACCCGTTGCTGTTTATCAATCAATTGCACATTAGACC